AGAGAAGTAGGGGATTTGTGGCTCACTCTCTATCCCCCATGGGGACGGGACATTCGCCCTTGCTTGGCTCCTTGGAAATTGATAGTTTTAGCCGACAGATTATGATCTGTTTATTGTGCAAAGTGCTGTAAAGTTCGGGGCAGCAATTAAGCCGCCTAAACGGGACGGGTGTGAAATGTGCTTCTGGTGATAGAAGAGGCAGCCTCTGAGGGAGAGGGAGAGGCGCCCGTCAGGCTTTGTTGTCCTTCATGTTCGATGGACCGATAGGGAACTTTAACTTAATTTACTTGGTGGCAGGAGGCAACAGCCTCCTGTTCCTGTTCCTGTCCCTGTCCCTGTCCCTGCCCAGCGCCTCGTCGAGCTGGCGAGAGAACAACAAGAATTGAACTTATTTCCGGCGGAAGTATCAGTATTTGGCAATTTCCGGTCGGGCAACGTTTTTTCTCGTTTTCCCGCACGCCCAGCAGCAGCAGCAGCTCTTGCCGAAGCAATAAATGTTAATACATATTAAGCGATTTCCTTCGAGAAGACAATAAAGTTTGCCACGTCCGAGGAAGTCAATTTCCCCGAGTCGGAGTGTAATTAAACCCTTGGATGGAAGATGGCAGATGCCAGATGAAAGATGCCCGATGGAAGATGGAAAACTAGACGCAACCACTCAGCGTGGAACGCCACTTCCATTAGTCCTCTGCATTCATTAGAGCCGCTGGCCCGGCCCGGCCCACAATCATCATCAATAATACCGCTCCGAAAACACATCACAAATTAATTTTGACAGCTCTTGGCAACGATTAATATCAATTATTCAAATAGTTTTGCAAGTTGGCATTGCTGCCGCCTCATCGATGAGCGTCTCCTCTATTATGGGCCATTGACAATGGCCTAAGCATGCCAGAAGGCTGTGCGGCGGCTCTTCCTGGATTAGGCCTTTGTTATTGGCCCATTCATATGGGAGCGAGCGGCTTGCAAGTGAAGGCTTTGCTGTAAGAGCATCTGATCTATGGCCATGAATGGAGCCCCGTGGAGCAGCGGGGGCTCCTTTCTAATTGGATTCTTGGAAATTAAAGCCGCTTAAAGTGCATTTCCCACATTCGCATGGTGGTAATATTTTTATGTCCGTTTGAATTCCGTACAAATGGGTTGTCCCTCTGACCCCGACTCGGCCCGTTCGAGTGGCACACAATTTTGCAAATTATGCGTGCGCATGTATGAAATACCAAATTGACTAATATTTATTTATACAATTTTGCGGTCCACGGCATGCAGATAATTCAATTCCTGTGTCAAATTTACCAAAATGTGCGTGTGCCGGTGCCTGTGCCGGTGGCTGTGCCTGTGCGTGTGCACCTGCCCGGCGCTCACCTCAAATGCAATTCAATTTTGCGATAAACCAATTTAAAGCAGACCAAAAATCGGGCGAAAAAATGCCAGAAATAATATATATACACATATAATGTGAGTGTCGATTTATCAGGCCTTTTCGGTCTCTCATTCGCCTCACTGCTGCTGCGGTCAGAGGTTATCAATCGTTCGCCGCCAGAGTCCCGTTTCCTGAATTCATCAGAAGAGCTCTGCAATTGTACAATTTCCCCTGCAATTCCTCCTCTATTTTATTTGCAATTATGTTTGAGTAGTCTTCTGCATAAAACTCCGAGAACTGCTGCCACATCCCCCACCCGAAGATCACCCCCAAAGCCCCCTATGCCCCAAAGGCTGTCCAAGAGAAGGGTAACAATATTTTCGCTTGCCTGACACGCCAAGTGTCAAACACACCTTCGAGCGGTTGTGGCACTGCCACTGCCACCACCAGGAGTCCGCCACGAGGCCAGCAGGCCATGAGTGGGTATTAAAGACTGAGTGAGCAATTGTGAAATGGGCAGGGCAGGGCTGGGCAGGGCTGGGCAGGGTTGGGTTTCGGTTGGAGGGGCCTCATGGGCGGAGTCAACAATTTTGTCTAATTACAACACGAGAAACAAGACGCCAGGCGACAAGCCATAAAAAATATGCCATTTGCACGAAAATAACTGTGATGTGCTGTGACCTGTGACCTGCGTATCGAAAGCCTAAGAGCCACAGATACAGCCAACAAATGGCTTAATTCGGCCAGGAATGCTCAGACGATAAAAAGTACAAGTATTAAAATTAACAAAACAAGGCCCAGTCCTAGACAACAGACGAGACGATGGGGGGGGCTGGTAGATTGGGCGACATCTATGAGAGTGCGAGGGGAGAGTCGTCCCATCACGTGATTGACGCACATTTCAAACGTGGAATTTCCAGCTGCTAACTCGACGCACCCTCTCGCGATCGGCAGCAACCATCTACAACATTCTGGCTGTGGAAGTGGAAATTTTATGTGTCTTCGTCATGTTAATTGTTTTCCTTTGTTGGTATTCCCGGCTATTGTTTCTGGATGGACTGGATGGCTTTGTTATAAGCCATAATTTGTGCGCTTATAACTCAAAAGTTTCACCGTCAAGGCGAACGCAACTAACTTTATTAACCGAAGGAGAACAGTCGGCATGCGGCATGCGGCATGCGGCAGGCGCCAGGCCCAGGACTTCATTTGAGTTCATTCTTTTTGTTTTCTTGATTTCCGTTTCCGACGACGCAACTTTCTTTAGCTTGTTTTTATGGTAATCGGCGCATAACAAAAACCACAATACCCAACCACGCCCACAGCACATACCCTCGAGACATAGCCAGGGTTGAGGGCCACCTGTGAGTGGGGGGGGGGGGGGGCTGTGGCATGGCATTTGGAAATTAAACAGCGCATAGTCCTTAAAATTTTATAACTTAATTTCTGTTGCTTTGGTATTTTTGTGAACTTTTTGATTTGATTTCCGTTTGCCACTCGCGCAACTCCTTTTGTGGCAGTATCGGCTCCTTGGGTGTCCTGAGTGTGGCAGGCAGGTGATTGTGGCTGGTGGGGGGCATTCGGGACGGTGGTGACGTGCCTGGCGTTCTTTTTCTGCCGGAATTCGGCATGCGAATTAGAATAATAAACTGTTGGAATTTATTTCGCACAGGAAAATACTTTGGCTGCGCTGATAAGGTTGATCTATGGCCGGTGGCACTTGAATGGCCGCCGATAAGGAGACGACGGCATCCAGTGTTGAGGGATTATGCCGGGGCAGCATAATTGATGCGCCCTGGGGCATGCGATGGGGCCATTTCGAAGTCGATTGGATCCGCAGACATAACTCAATTGTGGTAATGCAAATCTTGGCTCTTACGCACTTCATTATGGCTCCCACCGAGGGCTCCGTTTCAAAAGAACTACTTAATTCCTTTGAGTGTTTGCCCTGTAAATCTTGGCGTACCGGGTTCCACTGTCAGTGGTGGAACCTAGTTTCATTATGCTAATTGCACGGACATCAACTGGGGAAAACAATGCTGAAAATAACAAAGAACGGGGCCAGGTGCGGGGCAGGGGCTGCTGACTGGGGGCTGGGGGCTGGGCAATGGAAACCAAAGAATTTTCATTAAAAAATGTTCATTTAGTTGCACAATTATTTTTGTGCAGCAATTTTAATAACACTAATTTACCTTCAATTTTCTCAACTCTTTTTCCGTGCCACACTCACAAAGGCGACCAATGCCAGGAGCGGGCACAAACGGAGAGACAGACGGACAGAGGGAGAGAGAGAGAATACCAGTTAAAAATATGCGCAGCTGCACGAATAAAAAATTATAAGTTTTTTTCTCTCGATTCTCCGTTTTTTGCCGTCTTTTAATTTGATTCCTTTCAGCATTCACTCAACCAGGCCACAGATGAAGACCCGACGACCGGCACTGGCGTCGTACGTCATGCGAGCGGCCAAAGCAATGGGGCAACGGGGCCACAGCAAAAACAAAATCATCAAAAGCGGACATAGGACCGGGAGCGGGAGCGGGACCAGGACCAGGATCCCGCCAGGACTGAGCCAAGTTCATTCTAAGCCGTTTGCATTGCAAATGGTGCATCTGCCCGGCGACAAAAGGCAAAGAAGATGGGAACTATTGCCATTGCCCTACGGCAGAGGCTGTGGATGTGGATGTGGATCGAGGACCGGGACCGGGACCAGCCTGGTTGGCCCCACAATCACTTTTCAATTAAATGGCATTCTTCTCTTGGCCATTATTTCATGTTTTCTCCTCTCGGCTTTGTTTTCTTGCTGTTTGCCGCTGCCGCTGCCGCTGCCACTGCGAGTGCTCTGGGCCAAATGTGCCTGCCACAAAGGCAGCAGGCGTAAAGAGGCGCAGTATAGGGGGGGAACTGAACTGAACAGAACAGTTCTTTGAAAATAACGAAATCATTTTGGGTTCATTTATTTACTTGACCAACTCAGATGAAAGTCTTTGAGCCTCACAGCCGCACAGCCGCATGGCAGCTTGGCAGATGTTTCAATTGTCAATCATTAATTCGGGGATTGATTTGACACGACGGAAGATAATTCAAAGCATTTAAATCCCTGAAAATTAATTAGAAAATCAATTAGCAGGGACTCCAGTTCGGGATTAACATAGATCCCAGTCATAATTAGGTGCCGAAAAAGCTTTTCTTTTGGCCCAAAAGGCACCCTGAGAAAAACAATAAAGTCTGTCCCCCGACGCCCGACGCCCGTTCACTTTTCAAACTTCGCTTTGGGATGCGATGCCGTGTTAGTCCTCCAGGATTAGGGCTAAACTTTGGTAATTCAGGGCAAGTTTTTTGAGAGCACCAGCAGTAAGCAAATAACTGGCAAATTAGGCCAATAAAAAAAAGGTTCCCGGAGTATTGCTTAGATTGAAAACGAATTGAAAAACTCACCTCGGTGGAGGGTCCGTCTTGGAGCCGAAGTGATTGCGGAAGCTTAGAGAAAATATGTCTAGAACTTTTCGCATTTAGTTTTATTTTCATTTTCATTTGCACTGGCACTTTGTACGCGCATTACCGAGTGCAACTAAGTACAGGCACACACATTAGTATAAGTACTACAGCTAGTGGTAGAGGGGTAGGGGGGTAGAGTTGGATTAAAACTTGTAGCTGGCGGAGTTCCGGTTAAGCCTGATGGCATCCACGGGGCAAGATCGTTGCGTCTTGCAGCAGCTCCGTTTATGTCCGTTTGTATGCGTTTGCGGGGGCCTCGGGCAAGGTGGGAGTGGTGGCCGCCTCCTGTACGGCATCGCCATGTTTGAGCCAGTGCGGAGCTAGCCGCAGCATGAGGATGGCGCCCAGCGGCGCCGTGAATATAATCGCCAGCACCGAGATGATGAGCACATTGCCCGCCAGGGCCAGCTGCGCTTCGTTGGCCACGCTGGCAGCACGTGCCAGATCCAGGGCCACGGGACCCAGCGCCGCCTAAGGACCCACAGAAGGAGGGGAGAGAGAGAGAGAGGAAGGGCTCACTGATTAGATGGCTCAAATTAAGAACAGGCAACCGCTGCGTATGAGTGATATGAGCACAGCGCAGCGCCAACCAGATTAAAATACGGTTTTGCTGTACAATTTTAATTAAATCAGTACGAAAAAAGGCAAGAAGAAGGTGGACAGTGAAATATGTGACCGCCGACGGACCGCATATTAGGGAAAAGTTCAGCAGCCAGCCAGCCAGCCAGCGACAGTGCCACATGTTGGCTTTAGCTTTGGTCAAAACTCGAAGTAAGACAGCAGGCTGCAGGCAGCAGGCAGCAGGCGGCGGCTTAGTAAGCCAGCGGAACATTTAAATTTCAGTCAACCACAGAAACAGATGCACACACGCACACACACACACACACGCATTGGCCAGGCGACATAAACAAAATGTCCGTTTGTGGTTAAACTGCAAACAAAAGGCTTCCATGCCAACTGCAGCAGAGTCCTCGTCCTCGTCCACGACCTGCGAATTCGTGTATTACTTAGGCATTTCGATGAGAACAGGGACAAGCAACCCCTTCGGGTGTTGCTGGTGTTAGTGGTGTTGCCATGGCCAGCAGGGGCATGGACCGAGTGAAATGTCCAGCAACGAAGTAAAAAACTTCTCGGGGAATGGGTCAGAGGCAGAACTCGAGCTGGGGACTAACCGCAGCAACATGACACGCGGAACGGGAAACTTACTTGGACAGTTGCTTTGGGAAAACCGGAAATTGTAATGTAGGCACGTTCCTTTCTCGACAGATTTCCGCCATATGTGGATAAATATGCAAAACCCAAGCGAAACTGCAAACGAGAACAAGAACAAGAACAAGAAAAGGGTCAGCGCTGGTTAGTCGTTTCTCTATATTTTTTTTCGCTTCGTTCTCGGTTCTCCGTTCTCTGTTTTCTCCCTGTTCTTCTGTTGTGTGCAGGTAACATTTGCATTTCGTGGCCCAGAACATTTTCATTTCGGTTCAACCCTCGCCGACCGGACAGCCCCTCTTTGTTTTTTGGCGGTGGGATGACCCGAAGCCGCGGGGACTGTCGCACAGCAGCAGCAGCAGAGTATTCCCTGCACAAACTGAGTGAGGACCGAAAGAAATTAAATAAGTGGCAAGGCGAACAGTGAACAGTGAACAGTGAACGGAGAACGGAGCACATTGTTGCATTCCCCCATAGAGCCACCGTGCCACCGGCGACCGGCAACCGGCGACCGTTTTAATTACCAAACTTCCGACCAGCACCAGCAATGCCCCATAACCGATTACATGGCCCTGCAGCACGTTGAAATTAATTTCCTTGCCGATGAGTGCGAACGAGACGGGCTTGAGGAACTTCCACAGTAGATCCAGGCGCTTGGGGACACTGGCCTGCAAGAAAAGACAGAGAGAGTGAGAGAGAGCGAGAGATAAAGTCCATAAATTCTGATTAGATCAATATATTCCCATATGGCATGCAATTAGGACTGCTTATGTCGTTTCCTTCCACGTAAAGAGGCAATTAAAATCCATTGGCCAGCCAGTGCACACAGAAAGGATGGAAGATTCTTGGAAAAACTTTCGCCTGAAAGTCAACAATGTCGGAGGCAGCATCTAGAGCAGGGCTAAAGGTATTAGCCAAGAGCTAAAAACAAATCGAGAACTAACAGTCGGGCCCCAACAGGGCACAAGGCACATGATGTCACAAATTACCTAGCAAAAGTCGCCCACACAAACAGAGGTTTTTCAGAGAGCTGGCACGCTGTGTGGCTGTTTCTCCGATATAAAAAATGGCACTATTGCATGCTACATTTTTCAAGAACCAAACGAAAAAAAAAAACTACAACACAGGTGAGGCCCAGGCCCCCTCCGCACCCCCCAAAGCACTCAGTTACGCAAAGGCAGGACCAAAACACTCTCGAGAGCACACTAGCTTTTTGTGGAAGGAGCCCCTGGCCCCCGGTCCCCCATCGTTCAACTTACAATCTGATGGGCCTGCAGTTGGTGCGGTGTCAGCTTGCTCTCCTCCCGCCTCCAGCCAATCCTCGCAATAAAGGCAGTCGTCACACATCCCAGGGCACCGGCCGACGTATAGCCAATGACGCGGCTGCCCATCACGGCGATGGTGCCGCCCAAGATGGTCAGAACGAAGCGGAGGCCATTTGCGTACGTCTGCAAGGGATGAATCAAAAGACAGACATGTGAAAAGAGTGGATGGGAAAATGGTTGAGTTAGGCATACGCATACGTAAAAAGAACGAAAAAAACAAAACCAAATCACTTTACAAAACTCTGATGGAAACTGTTTTTTTTCCTCCCATTGTTTGTGCTCTTTCTGCTTTGACGGGCAGTGCGCCGTGTGGTCAGGTTGCGTATACGCAACGTGTGCACCAGTCGACAGGATCGACAAAAAATGCCTTGTTTTCCCATTTTTGCCCGTTCTGTTTTGATGTTCCTTTGGCTTTTGCTTGCATACGAAATTTTTAGTCAGAACTCGAAAAAAATCTGTAGCTAAATGGCCCGAACAACGATTTCGATCCGATAAACCTCGCCTCGAATAAAGTTATCTTTTTGTTGTCTTCTGTCTTATATTTTCTAGGTATATTTTACTCGTTTTAGTCGTTTAGTCCGGCCAGGGGGGAAGCTTGTTGGTTTTGCTGGACAGGTGTTGAGGCTGATTGAGATCTTTTAATTTTCGTCCTAGCTGGCTGGATGGCTGGCTGGCTGGCTGGCTGGCTGGCCCTTTCAGAGCACTCACTTTGGCACACCGCAAATCGCTGCAATTCAATTTTCCTTCACTCCACTTGTCCTTTGTCCACAGATTTAGAAAAGGTTTAAGCTGCATTTTCCTCAAATCGAATGAAATTGCATTCAATTGCGCTTCGTTAGGCGACTCGCTCGGACACTCTCCTGCACTTGCCATGAAAAGTACTCTCTGAACTTTTAATTTTCCTCCTCCCCACCCCCCCCTGCCCACTCCCGAGTAGGTACTATAATAAGTTGAGTTTTCTTCTCTACCTCCTGAAATTGCAAACTTTTGCCCCGAATATCGTATTGCAGAAAAAATACTGCCAACGCGGAAGAAAAGGAAGAGGAAAATGTTGAATGCGGAAAGCGCAGTGCTGGAAAGGTGACTGCGAAATTACAAGAGACTGCGTAATCATAATAAAATAAAAGCAGCGCCAAGCACCAATGACACGCGAGAAGATGCTGGAGACCAAAAAAAAAGACGCGAGGAGGCCTGATGACAGCCACACACACACACTCGCACCGCCTTACAGATACCCACAGTGTTAGTCTGTGGCTGTGTGTGTGTGTGTTTGCAAGGATGTAAGGATGCAGCGACTTCAACGTCGCACAGCGTGAAATTTTTGTACAAACTGCAGCGCCGCGTGGCTGCGGATGCCACTTGACGACGACGAAGCCAACGACGGCCCCGCGCCGCGCTTTACAGAAAACAAAAGTTATGAGAGGTCTATGTGTGTGTGCCTGTGTGTGAGTGTGTGTGTGTATGTGTGGTTATATGGTTGTGTGGCAGCCCCAGTGCATTCGGTGGCACCACCCATGGCGTTTGATTATGCGCGCCATTAGCGGTGTAAGTTGCGGCAATGAGTTTTGTGGCTGCGGCTGTGGCTGCCACAATGTCCCCAGCATAACTTCACATAGATGCTGGCAGTAACTGTCGTCGCAAATGTCGCCAGCACCGTCGTCGTCGTCGTCGTCGTCGTCGCCAGCTCCGTCGTCGTTGCCGCTTTGCATGTAAGTGTCTTTTTATGCAAAATGCACCCACACATTCACACCAAACCCTCTCCGCCTCCCCCGCCCGCCTCTTGTGTGCATATGGCACCCAACGCCTGCCAGCCCCCAACCCAGCGGTGCTTGTGCGCGTTTTGCATCATTAAATGCGCTGATTGAGTGTCTAAGTGTTCACTGAATGTGCATTTTAAGTGCAGCTCCAGCTAGCTCCACGTCTGCGCCTTTGTCTGGCACGGACATCGTCGGTTCGGGGCTGGGCCGCTTACCGCATTGCGAGATGGCAAGAACTGGAGCATCATGCCGTACAGATAGCCGAAAACGAGTCCAATTCCAATGCCAATGGGACCCTGCAGCACTTGCTGTGTGAGCGAGGCTGTAAGCAAGAGCAAAGAGAGTATTTATTTCACAGTGGAGCTGTGGAGGGTGGCTGGTGGCAGGTGGCACGCACTTGTGGAGAAGATGACGCTGATTATCACGCCGAACATGAAGATGGACACCACATCGTTGCATGTGGTCATCGCATAGATGAGGGTGTGTATGCCGCTGTTCAGGCCCAGGCGATCCTCCTTCAGCTTAAGCATAACGGTGACCACCACATTCGGGGAGATGGCGGTGATGACCAAGCTGTGTGGGGGTATTACGAAACGGAAACATTGATAGCCATCCAACCAAGCAGGCCACAGCCCACACACTCACCCCAAGGTAATGCCCCAGAGCCAGGGCATCGAGAGGGTAAGGTAGGCCAGTCCGGCGATGGCCGCCACCTCGGCAATCGTCGGCAGCAGCGTCAGGCGGAGAATCATAAGCCACAGCCGCTTAAACGCCTCCCCGTCCAGTCCGAGGCCGGCCAGGAGCATGATATTGATCAGGGCCATTTCCCTGTTGAGAAGTTTAGACACTTTTCCATTGGTAACTGCTCGTCTTAGCCGCCCTCCGGGCGACCAGCTCTTACCTCAGAAACAGCTCGAATCCCTGATAGCCTTCGAAATTTGCCAGCCCCAAATTGGCGTAGAGCACGCCGAAGAAGAGCATGCCCAGCATGTCGGGCAAGTGGACAAAGGTCACCAGGATTCCGGATAGCTGGGCGCCCACAAACAGGAACGCTATGCGCATGATGACTGTCTGGGGCGCTGAGAATTCCCTCAGCAGTATCCAGGCCATGGCCCACAGGCCCAGAAAGATGACCAGCAGGGCGACATGCTCGGAAATCAAGGACCAATGCAGCACCAAGTGACGCCACCTGCAAAACAGGCATCGAAACGATTAAATCAATGAACAAATAAAGCACACACAAAAATATTAGGTTATATTTATAATTATTACCTCCCCATCGTCCTGGAAAATTCAATGCAAAAAGGGCAATCTTTTTTCTACACACTTGAGATTCTTTGTGGAATTTTAACGTTGTTGAAGGAGAGGAGGGTATTTTGGGGGTTTGTTTAACTATTTGCCAGCAAGATAGTTTGTTGGAGGAAGGAGTTTAGGAGATAAAGTATCTTCCTTTCATTGAATCTCTAGATTTTCGTGGAGACTCCACCCGTTTTTGTGCCACACAAAATTATGGATATTAAAGCGAGGAAGACCCTCCATCTGAGTGCCATTTTGTTGGCCAGGTTAACAGGCAAACTCCCACAAAATGTCATCACAGCCGTGCACAGAATATTACAATAGTCCAGCAGAACACACAGTATCTTGCCCCAAAGACCAGACCCCGATTATGACTCCTGTAGGTCCTGTGAGTGGGAGTGGTCAGGCTGTAATTGAATAGTCAATAGCTATTGGAGATGATGGCATAGTTTTGGATTAAGCTTTCGAATTGGAATCCTCCTGCCATGCTCCATGTTTCCGACATACCTTGAGATGAGCTTCGCTTTCTCTATCAACAGCTGAGCTGCTGCTGAGGAGCGACAGTCCATTACCAACAATTAGGCCCTCGAAAGGGTGAAACCTACTCCGTCTGAGTGCTCAGAATGTACTGAAGAAAGGCAGGGACAGCCGTTCGGGAGTTTCGTGTGTCTCTGTTAATCAGGTGAATTATGTAAATGTAATTGCTGCTAATTGCCAAGCTCCTTTGGAGCTATAAAGCCCCCCGGACCTTAGCAACGGCCGACAAACGCTAACCAAATGGACAGCCACAAGCAACGCATTGAGTCCATGCACCTGATTCTTCAGGTCATGCGACTCTTCGGCCTCTGGCCCTGGTCTTTGTCCGAGGGGGACCACTGGACGGTGTGGGGTTTCGTGCGGCGAAACTATCGCTTTCTGCTGCATCTCCCCATAACATTCACCTTCATCGGACTCATGTGGCTGGAGGCCTTCGTCTCGAGCAACCTCGAGCAGGCGGGCCAAGTGCTGTACATGTCCATCACGGAGATGGCGCTGGTCGTTAAGATTCTCAGCATTTGGCATCACCGCTCGGCCGCCTGGCAGCTGATGCACGACTTCCAGCAGGCCCCAGAGCTCCGCCTGCGCTCCCAGGAGGAGCAGCTATTCTGGCAGCGGGAGCAGCGCTACTTCAAGTGGTTCTTCTACATCTACATACTCATCAGCCTGGGCGTGGTCTACAGCGGCTGTACTGGGGTGCTCTTTCTGAAGGAGTACGAGCTGCCCTTCGCCTACTACGTGCCCTTCGAGTGGCGCAACGAGCGGGGCTATTGGTTCGCCTATGGCTACGATATGGCGGGCATGACGCTGACCTGCATCTCAAACATTACACTGGACACCCTGGGCTGCTATTTCCTGTTCCACATCTCCATGCTCTACCGACTGCTGGGCATGCGATTGAGGGCACTGAAGAGTACAGCGGATGAGACCTACTTTGGCCAGGAGCTGCGTCAGATCTTCGATATGCATCAGAGCGTGCGCAGGTCTGTAGATCCTTACACGTATATCCTATTGGTACCACTACTCTTCCACTTTGCAGGTTGACCCACACCTGCCAGGCAATAGTGTCGCCGTATATTCTCTCCCAGATTATTCTGAGTGCCCTGATCATCTGCTTCAGCGGCTATCGCCTCCAGCATGTGGGCATCCGGGCCAATCCTGGCCAATTCATAGCCATGCTGCAGTTTGTCAGCGTTATGATCCTGCAGATCTATCTGCCCTGCTACTACGGCAACGAGATCACCGTCTATGCCCACCAGCTGACCAACGAGGTCTACCACACCAACTGGCTCCACTGCAGGCCCCCCCTCCGCAAGCTGCTCAACGGCTACATGGAGCACCTGAAGCAGCCAGTCGCCATCAGAGCTGGCAACTTCTTTGCAGTTGGTTTGCCAATTTTCGTAAAGGTTCTTATCGAATAGAAATGCCTTTTGGGAGTGCCCACCCATTAAACAACTCTTTTGCAGACCATCAACAATGCCTACAGTTTCCTGGCCCTCCTGCTGAATGTCTCTAAATGAGAAGTGGTTCTCTTTATTAGAAATATTTAACACAATTAGAATACGTATTTTGAATTGCAATAAACAGAGATTTATAGAAAACCAAGCATTACTTAGTGTATTCTTAAAGGGGGTTGATTTATTAACTAGTTCTTGAGTTTTCTTGAGAATTTAACTTCTAAAAATAGAGCCATACCATAGATAAAAGAATAGTCATTTAAAATTGGTAGAAAACTTCATCTTTAGGTGGCTATATTTTCAGAAATATCCACTCTATCGACACGAAATTCTCTTTTTATTACATTAACTTTTGGGGAAAGTTAATGCAGATAATAAAATATGTTATTGGAAATAGTTCCAAGCCTTCAGAGTAGTTAAATAAACTCAAATTTGAGCATAGATTTATGGAGATATTTCCTTGAAATTTTGCTTGGCATACACTCCTCCTGAAAGGCATGACTTTAGTCCTTATATTTCATCCTCGCATTTAAACAGAATATTCTGAAGATATTTGTGGCTGCATGCTGTACTTCAAACTATTAGATACAGCCATATGAACAGCCTTGAATGAACTGAGAACAGATGTATCCTCAAGTCTGCGCTCCTGCCCCCACTCCTGGCAGCCATTGCGTGACTGATGTATTTTGGTAGGAGACAGACGACAGTCAATGGGAAACATTATGTCAGCGGGCTAATTATTGTAATTGCCTTTGCCTTTAAAATTGTATAAATATTTTGGCTAATTAACGAAACGACTCAGGGCTGGAGCATCGTTGGAGCAGGGCTCACAAAAAGAACCAGTTCCACTCGATTCAACGTTAAATAAGTGAAAATAAATCATTCAATGGATGCCAGCCACTTCTTGGGGCTCAGTTTCAGGACTTAAACGGGAACTGGAATCCGAAAAGTGTGTTCCAAGGGGAAACGAATCGAGAATACAACCCTAGTTCTGAATTTTCGTCAACCGAAGGCCATACGTCTATAAAAGGAGACAATGTCATTGGTTTTTCCATTGTGGTATTATTCTTGAGTCGCTGAAAATGCAGGCCACGGATCGTATAGCTGCTGTTCGGTTTCTGATTACGGTCCAGCGCTGGACGGGGCTCCTGAAATGGCAGGATGAGAATAGTCATGACCTCTGGACATGGGTCAAGCGCATCCATCCGTTTGCCCTGCATCTGCCGCTGACTTTCACCTACATTGGCCTGATGTGGCTGGAGGCACTCACCTCCGCCGACTTCGAGCAGGCTGGCCAGGTGCTGTACATGTCGGTGACGGAGCTGGCGCTGGTCACCAAGCTCATCAACATCTGGTATAGGCGAGAGCAGGTGGCGGGGTTCATTCACAAACTGGCAGACGATCCCGCCTACGAGCTATGCAATCCCGAGGAAAGGGAGTTCTGGCACCGCCAGCAGATGCACTTCCAGCGCATCTTCTACTTTTATATCCGGGGCAGCCTGTTCGTGGCAGCGATGGGCTTTTCCAGCGTGTTCTTTCAGGAGGAGTACGAGCTGCCCTTCGGCTACTACGTGCCGTTCGAGTGGCGCACCCCGGAGCGCTACTACTACGCCTGGGGCTACAACGTGATTGCCATGACGCTGTGCTGTTTGTCCAACATCCTGCTCGACACCATGGGCTGCTACTTTATGTTCCAGATCGCCCTGCTCTATCGGGTGATGAACCTCCGCCTGCAGGCCCTGCACCGGACCCCGGAGAGGGAGTCCGCGCCCCGGCTGCGTGCCATTTTCCGGCTGCACACACGAGTGCGCCGCCTGACGCGGCAGTGCGAGGCACTGGTCTCCCCCTACGTCCTCTCGCAGGTGGTGTTTAGCGCCTTCATCATCTGCTTCAGTGCCTATCGGCTGGTCCACATGGGCTTCAGGGAGCGGCCGGGTCTCTTCCTCACGACCCTGCAGTTTGTGGCCGTGATGATTGTCCAGATATTCCTGCCCTGCTACTACGGCAACGAGCTGACCTTCCATGCCAGCGCCCTCACCGACAGCGTGTTCCGCACCAATTGGCTGGAGTACTCGGTGCCCACCCGTAAGCTGCTCAACTGCTACATGGAGTTCCTGAAGCGACCCGTCAAGGTGCGAGCCGGAGTCTTCTTCGAAATTGGCCTGCCCATATTTGTCAAGGTTGCAGCACTCTCTCTGTGGCGCCACTCCATGCTAACTTGTGTTTCCTCTGCAGACAATCAACAATGCCTACAGTTTCTTTGCCCTGCTCTTGAAAGTATCCAAGTAAGCGGAGAGCTCCCCACAATGGAGCCCAGACCCCCAGGGAGGGCCAGGCCACACAAAGTGTGTTAAACACAACACCATAACCCAGCAGCAGCAGCAGTAGCACCAGCAGCAGCACCGCAGTAACTCATACGACACGTTGTCTGCACCCCGCACCGAGAACAACATCGAGAATAAATGCCGCCAGCCAGCAAGGCATTTCGCCAGCTATTAAAGTAAGTGTCACTGCCAAAAAGGCGAAAGGAGACAGCACAAAAAACAAAAAGAAACAAAAAGAAATCAGGCCTGACTGCGACTAGACGTCGACCCGGGGAATTTGGGACCCAGACGAAGACCCACAGCCAGGCGGAAGCACGCGCGGGTGACTAGTGTGGCAGCAACAGCCATGAGCACCATTGTTAGCGCATAAAAGAAATAGAAAACCCAATGCAAAGCAAAGCAAAGACCGGATATGCGAAAAACGCGTGCAATGCAAGTGTGAATGGCGGCGCGGCTGGCTGTCCCGCCGGAAGTGCATTCAAAGGGCTAAGCACGGATCCGCACAATGGCAGAGTGCAGGGCTCCCGGGGTCTGTCTGCCTCGGCTCGGCCACATGAGCATTTCACTTACCACTTGGGTCCTTTGTACTCCTCGCTCTGGACTCCTCCGCCGGGAATGGGCACGGGTACGGGCACGGGCAGGGCTCCCCCATTGTTGCCGGCAACATTTTGTTGTGTTGTATTTGTTGAATTTAATGATGTCGGCGTTAAAATTATTGTTGCAGCGTTTTGTGTGGCGGAGGCATCGCCTCCTGCTCCCGCTCCCGCTCCCACTCCCGTTCCATTTCCATCCGTCCGCGCTTTGTTGTAGTCTTCCGGGAATTTTTGTATGTCTAATTTCGTATGCAACGGCGGGCCAGAGTTGCCACTCAGTGTGTCCTGTGGCGCAGTGTTGCCGTTTCTGCCCTGCTCCTGTGTCATGTTGTCAGCCTTCGGCTGCTTTTGTTGCTGTCTGCTGCGCTTAGCTGTAAGTGGCAAACAGATTTAAATGTTTTAATAGATATGTCAACGTCAGAGAGAGAGAGAGAGTGCAGAATTCCCTTGGAGCCAAACCGAAACCGAACAAACCCATCGAAGGCACAAGCACTAACAAGCTGCATTTAACCCATTTTGCATTCATTTCTGCAGCTCATGCATAAGTAAAACCCGGAGGAGCGGAGAGCCCGGGAGGAGCCCGCGTCAACGGCAGTGTCAACGGTTCTGGCATCCCGGCAGTCGGCAGCCGGCAGTCGGTTTAAATTGCAAAGTGCAGCCGAGTGCGGCTCTCATACGTACTACCTGTAATGCTCGTACTACTCAAGGTGGTGTCGACGATGGCAAAATGAAGATTGCAACAAAGATTGACAAGCGTTGATTGCAAGGAGAGAGCCCCAAAGAAGGGGTCTGAGTGCGGCGAGCTGGCTGCCAGCGAGTCAAGGATGATAACCGTGCTCCTGCTGCCGGCAAGGAAATTGTTTTCGCCAGGCCACGACAAAGCCTCTGCCAGTCGACAGGTGTGTCGAGTCGGCTCTGGCTTTGGCTCTGGTTCTGGCTCTGGCTCTGAGGCACAGCCTCTGCGAGTCGCCTCCGCCATAATTGGCGTTATTGTTGCCGCGACAACTTCACACTTTGCCACTGCCACTGCCAGTGCAATGGGGCAGGGCGGGGCAGGGCTGGGTGGGAGGCGGCAGAGGTCTGCAAGGAGCCTAAGAAATACATAAATATTTCCATTTATAATTAGCGCACTTAATGCCGGTTCGAGTCCGCCCGTCGACAGCCTGTCGAACCATTCCGGGCAATTGACGCGCTTCTAGCCGGGCTAATTGGATGGCAGACTCCTCTGGCTGTGGCTCTAGCTCTGTGCTCCCTATTTGCATATGAAGCGCTGCTCTAATAACGACAATTTTCAATCCAGTTCTCACAATTATTATGCAAGACTGTGACTGTGTGTGTGGCGACTGTTTGTGTGTGTGTGTGTGTGTGTGTTAGGCTGTGCAATCAGCAGTTGATTTGATTTGAGATTCTTTTACTTTTTTTGTATTTCCTCAGAATCGACTGGTGTTTGTATTTGATTTTAGAAGACAATCTGCTTGTCAATTGTCAACCGAACTCCGGCCGGGTCGCTTGTCCGTACGTGTTAATTGTCCGCAAATATTTAGCGCCAATTCGAGGCTCCAGATTCGACACATTGTGACAATCGGCCTGTTTGCGTATCTGCTTCTGTATGCCCTGGATCACGTGTCGCCCGAGATTCAGGCTATCATGCGACCTATTGATACGCAGAAGAAACGCTAATGGGGGGGATGGTGTCATAATCTCAAGAGGAAGGGTCTCTAAATCAAGTTGGACTTAGAGTATTGCTTTGTGAGTAATTGGATTGAATCAAACTGCAGGAAGTTGGAGCAGGAAATCAAATTTACTTCACTGAAAATATTCAATCGGCATTGATTTCACTCGACTTTCCATCTGCTGCTCTGAAGAAAACAAAGGGAATATATAAGGAACAGATAAGCAGATCCATTCAGCAGCCATAAATTCCAGCATTGGCACTGTTTGCACTGCAAAAATCACTCATACGCACAGGTGGCTCTGTCCACAGATATACAAAAAGCGAAAGTGCGGCTGATTTTCGGCACTATCACCCTCTGATCATTCAGCGAGAGAGATACAGGAAGTATAGACTACACAGAACACTGCTTTAAAATCTACAGATGATTCAATCTCTGTCTATCCCGCGAGAGGGGCTCCCATAATCTATTCAAATATATCCCAGACACACTCGCCTTCGACTACAACCACAGCTGATCTATAGACGGTATTCCAGCGCTGCTCAGCAATAGAAAACTAATAGAAACTCAGAGAGAGAGAGAGAGAAGGAGAGGGAAAAGCCCAAGGCCCTGTGCGGCTCTTCACCCTCTCTTTTAGTTTGTAAATTAATTTATAATTACACTAACAATGTATTATAATCAGCAGCAACTGATTATTAAATATTAAATATTTAATACAAAGTTTCCAAAATAAACTTTTTTAATAATCTGTGTTTTCCATTGTGCGTTAAATATAAAACATTATTTTTAATAGATTTTCCAAAAAATAATGCATGAAACTAAATAAATTTGTGGTCGGCTAAGTGGTGGCTTTCCCCCGTGATGCGACGCGCGTTTGTAAACACTCACCCGAGCAATTTTCTATGAATAAATAAGTTTTTAATAAGCACAACACTTGCAAATTTCGATGGAATATTACGTCGAGCACATTCTATTCAGGGCGGCCAATGTTAACCGATTGAATCTTTTTTTTTTGCCGAGTGATAACTAATCGCATTCGATGCCGGCTGACAACTGACTTTTATAAGAGCATCTCTCGCATCTACGGTGTGGGGCGCCGTATATACTCGCACTTTTTATCTTATGCTAATAAAAAAAACATACAGTCTCCGCAGTCGCCGAGAGATACTCTCGCACGGGCGAGTGAGACATATAAAATATTTGTTTAATATTTTAAAATTAGCAAATAAATTGGAAGACAACAGAGCGGATGAGAGCGTGAGAGGAGAGACGCGAGTGAGAGCTGGGAAAATATTGGATTATTAACAGACAAATTCAATGGAATTAACAGCAGCATGGCATTGAAAAAAAGAGTTGTCCGTGGTGTGCGATCAAACAGCGCTAGAACATCGATTAACAGGCCGGAGAAGTGCACTGGCAAACAGCCCCTGGGCCCCGAGCATAATTATGATTACGAGCATTTGCTTATCAATTAATTAGCCCCATAATCAACACAGAAACTTATGTACGCTCGGTAAATATTTGCCATTTCAGTTCAGTTGCGTTTAGGCGTTCAGTGCCTCAGTTCCTCCAAGCCTATTGCAAGTTCAATGAGAAGTTCGCGTTTTGGCTATGGCAAATATTTAAGTTTTGCTAATTAATTTAAAATATCTTCGCCATAACAAACTGTCTTGAGGCCTAGCCTCAGGCATGGCAGGGAAATGGGAAATGGAAAATGGGTTTGGTTTTGGAAGCTAAAGAAATGATAGCACTTTTGCCCACCATTTTTTTTGTGAATTATGTGCCTCATTTAAAAGTTTTCCGCACACCGAATCGTAGTAGTTTTTGTGTCGGGCATGGGGAAAAAATTGTGCATAAATTGTGTGCAAAGGTGTCAGCAGAGATAGCAGGCAAAGAGCAAGGAGGGACAGAGAGTGGGGGAGGTATTGTAAGACAGGACTTTCGGCTGCAATCAAGTGGCTGGAGAGAGCACCGGTAGCGTGGAGAGTGGTAGCACTTCTCCTGTGATATTTCATATTCATGCCCTGCACTCGGCAGGACAGACAACAGCAAAAAGACAGAAAATGTTGAGCCAACTTGAACTGCAAGTTGGGCGGGTCATTAAGGCTTTCTTTGCACTCGAAGACCACGGACGGGGCCCAGGCCGGGCCGGGCCGGGCCAGGCCCCATTGATTATTACCTTTGCCAGAAGCTCCATCTCTCCCCCATTGACCAGGGGGCGGATAGTTCTTGAGACTCTCCAGGTCCACGTCCACGCCCATTGTTGGGGGCGGGTGGGCTTTGCGTACTTGTCCCTTCCGTGGCACTTTTTGGCATTTTATCTTGTCATATTTTCTGCAACTTTCAAGTGACCAGGCACGAAAATAATGCAAAAGTTTTTTAAAGCCAGTCGCCCCATGGATGTGCCTCGCACAGAATTTCGCTTTTCAATTGCTGCGAAACTTTTCACACAAATTATACGACGACTACGACTGACGCACAAAAAAACAGACACTCCGCTCTCACGCTGCCCCGAAGAAAGCCCAAGTCATGGATGCAAAGATGGCGACGAGTGCATTTCCGGGTGATGGTAAAAGTTTTTGTCATTCGGTTGTCATATGGCCCCATCTCCATTCCCATCCCCATCCCCATACAAAAGGCGAGGAGACAATGCGTTGCGTACACATCTGAGGTGTTAATTGGAATCAAGGCAAAACACTTTCGCACGGCCACAGGCCACAGGGCTGAAGGAAAAACCCAAAACAAGCTTCGGAAAATCTCCACCGAGACATCGGTGGAAACTTCTTAAAGATCTAATGGAAAATTTATTGTTCTTTTTGAAGTTGCTGAAAGTTCATTCTTTCTTGCCTTTCCGTTGTGTCACTTTTCATTTAGATTGCTTGTACGGGGCATGGGGCATGGGGCATGCAGCAAGAAACTGCATAGAGTGCCATAAATTTGTTTAATATTTTACTGATTCATTCGCTGGAGGGTGCACTCCTGGATGCACTCATAAGTGTTTCCAGTGATTTATATGAGTTATTCAACTATTCATTATTTACAGATCCCTTTTTTCAATATGTTTAAACGGTAAATAGCACAGGAGGACAACGACGACGACGACTACGACGATGCTGATGACTTCTGCTGGGTATCCTGTGTAGCCTTGTGTGTGCGTTTGCTAAAGAGTTTCAAGTTCCAGGACTCTGTCTGAGTGTGTCCGTGTCTGCAGCATACATACATATATCAATTCACGTTTCTCCCCGTACATAACATACATTTATTTTATTTTATATATGTTTACTTAAGCGTGCCACCCTTTAACTATGCCACCCATCATCGCCCCCCACCCCTGTCTGCTGTCCTGAATGTGTTTGTGCGCAGAGAAGGATTCCTGTTGCATCCTTTTATGCACTTGCCTGTTAACCAGTGCGTGCAAAACACATTCAAAAAATAATTTCTTTTCGCAGAAAATATTGTATGTGCTTCCATCGAGCAGCAGCAGCGGCAGAGGCAGCGACAGCAGATTGCATTCCCGCCAAGAGATGAACTCACGCTTCAGCGATTCGCATCTAATTTAGTGCTCATGCGAGTGCGAGAGTGCGAGTGCGAGTACGAGTACGATATTGCAACGTCAACAGCAAATCAGTGGAAACTGCCAGCTTCTTGGCTCAAGGCATAGAAAACTCTTCAAGCTTCGAAAGACAGAGACACAGAGCGACAGAGAGAGAAAGAAAAAAAAACAGGTCAACCCGTCATATGCACTCAAAGACCATTCACATTCACAGCTTAGCAAATAAAAGGACAGATTGAAAATGCAAAACTAAATAAACAAGTCCTCGGCATCACTCACAGAAAGGAAAAAAAAAACACTGTCAAAGATGATACGACGACAGGGAAAGCGCTCGATTAAGCGTAGTTTAGAAATTAGCCGTGCCACTCGAGACCCAGTCGACGTTCGCGTGGCAAGTGCAAGTGCAACAGACAGCATACAGCTATGCGACTCCGTGGCAAGTCAAAGCCCAAATGCTGTGGGGCATCAACGCATCAACGTCAATGCACATGGCGTCGAAAGGAGAGGTTTGTGCCACAAGAGTCATGGGGCGTGTATGGGGTATGTAAGTTGAAATTTTCCCATTCATTTGGCAGTCATTATGCTCAGTCAGAGCGTAGCAGCCAGCAACAACAGCTACAGCAACGTTGGCATTTATAAATGTCATACACTGCGTATACGTAATAAACCGACCTGAGCACAGCGCCTCGCCGTAGAGACGTGCACACGCCTTGCATTTATCAATAGTCGAGAATGTTTGTGTGCAAAGCGTATATCATGTTGGCTTTAGTTAACAGAAACGTCGCCCAAGTGACAGACGACCGAAAGCAGAGGCGAAGGAGGCAGGCGGCAGAAGGCAGGAGGAGATCTGGGGACACACATCCATTTAAGATTGAGCTTGAGAGATTGCCTGGAAACGCAGCATTTAAATAGAATTTATTTAATATAAACGAGCTGGCATTAGCTATGCTATCCCCCCCGTTTGGCCTGCGGCGGGCGGTGCCGAGAGAATCTATTTAAATATGACTTTTTCGAGCGAGAATCAGTGGTGAAACTCGAACTGAATGCACAGGAAATGAGCTCCGCACCGACTAATGCATATTCATGGAAACATACTTTTCCGAAGGCCTGTGGGCATCCTGGCCCAGTCCGTGAGTCCGTGGGTCCGTGGGTCCGTGGGTCCGGGCCCAGTGTTAGTTTTCTGATTGTGGGCATTTGTGCGCAACTAAAACAGCTCATTATTCGTTGGAAATATTCCGTAGTTTGGCAGTGTTAACCCTGCCGCAACAGTCCAAAAAGCCCTGCCCGTTTGCAATGGCCCCAACGGCGAAAGTTTTTCCCGGACAGATGCAAAACAATCGCAACTGCAAGAGCATTTCAACAATAATAGCTGTTGGATTCGGGGAAAAACAAGCCGCGACCACCTGCCAAAACAGGCAAAGAGAAGGGTCAACCGAGAATAAACAGAAACTAGCCGGAGATGGGAGGATAGTTCACAGCCTGCACCCACTGGTCACACTGGTCCTTGGATGCATGATTCTGTTAGCCAAGGGCTGTGGCTGTGGCAGTGGCATACTATCTGACAGCTCAAGAAAGTGCATGCGAATGAGACGGGACAGGCAGCCATGCCAATTCCAGACATTCTGGCGTCAATATACGGAAATATTACGTATACGGCTGCCAAGCGTGGCTCCCCGGTATCTCTCTGGCTCTTCCAAGCAGCATCCTAGCAAAACGAACGCTCTGTGGCAGTATCTGGAGTTCACTTAAAATCGAAATGCCTCAATCAGCTCATGGCACAGCTCAGAGTCAGGACTGTGATTCGACTTTAGACACAGCGTGTTGCATGCATCCCTCCACTCCTCCTCCACCACCTCCTCCTAGCTGGCGCTATTTGCACAAACTCGAGCGGAGAACGGGAGTGAAACAAAAACTTTGAATAAGCAAACTATGAATATACTGATATGCTGATATATATACCTACTATACATATATCTGTATTTGTATCTGTATCTTCATGCTCGCATGTGCATGCGTATGTATCTTTATGTGTGCAATGTGCTTTTGTCTGTCTCTGCGCTCACTTCAGACCAACTTCGCTTGGTTGGCCAACAAAAGCGTTGACGTTGTGCGGAAACTATGTGCATTTGAATGTCTTACTCTTGTCTCTCCCTCTCTCTTTTTGGTCCTCTGGCTGACTGTGTGTTTGCGTGGGGAAAAGGAAAAGAATTTCCGGTGCAAATATTTTTGCTTTGCTCCAGCACCAAATTCTCTGTGCTCTCCATGACAACAAACCCATGCAGGACCAGGACCAGGACCACCGCACTCAAAGCACAATTAGATGTATCACTCACCTTCTGGGAGGACGGGCACTGAGATTTGCTGCCCCTTGAACGATGACTGGCCATGGCTGCGTGGCGGTGGCTGGGGACGCTCCGTGCTGGGCCCCAGCAGATGCTCCTTTTCGGGCTCCAAATCGGTGAGAATGCAGGCGGTCACTGTTTCGCTGGCTCGCCGCAGCAGCTGCAAAGGCAACTGGTTGGCAGCATCCTGCGGGCGATCATCTTTCGGCATCGCTGGGGCCTCATAGGAGTCCTCGAACGGGTTGCTGCTGCGGAAGGCCTGCAGCTGGGGGCCATTGTCGCCGGCCACCACATCGAATACATCTGTCGGGACGAGATTTAGTCATTAGTTGGCATAATCAATTTCCGAAATCCGATTTATTTGCACACGATTTATTTATTGGCACTTTTGGAAAAAAAAACAAGAAAAAATACAATTCGTATTTAATTGATTAACCATAAACTCGTAAATTAACAGCGCCGTGGAAAAAATCCACATGCTAAATATAATAAAAAAAAAAGATTGACAGTCGACCCTTAGATACCCTTGCGGAGCTATACTTTCGATGGATAAACAAATACTTATCCTTCCATCTATCGTTTGTATTACTTCTTGGCAAATTTCAAATAATGTTATTTAATGTTCAAGAAAGAAGATTCGTAACAAACATCTTGTCAAATAGCTAATACTCGTACTCACCAAATTCGCTGCTCACGTTCATGTTCGGTGTTTCTCCCTATTTAGCACGCGTTGGGTTTCACAGCGAAAGAAGAGCGAAGCAAAACAAAACTGAGCAAAAGTCAAAAGCAAAAAAGCACAAAACAAAGAGAGGTCGCCGCCGCTCCGATACTCAATGATGACGTATGCTCTAGAGCTTTATTGACAGCCGCGCGAGAAGAAGAACGACAGGGCAAAGAGATAGAGCGATAGCTACGCAATCAACGACCACTTGACCGACGGACGCTTCGCTACGCGACCAGACCGAACGCTGCACTGCAAGAAAGAACAATAAGACGCGCGACAGTCGGGCACGACCGGAGTAGCCGCGGCGCCCTGTGGAGAGGGTCTGCGGCAGTGGGTACATCGGATTTCATTAATTGTATTACACGTGCTCTGGCAAATATTTGCGCAACGCATTAATTAGAAAAGCAATTGAGGCGGCGATTGTGCACTTGGAACGGCGGCTGGGCGCTCTCTTCGATTAAAACTAATTGGCAAACAAATAAGCGTCGCAAAACAAACGCCGAACGAAGCGAAGTCGCCCCGTCCCCGACCGCGACCGCGTGAATGGAGAAAAATTAGCAAAGAGAGATTATGTATGGGAAAGAGAAGAGCGGTTCGCCAGAGGGAACGAGTTGGAAGAGAGAGAGGGAATGAGTAGATGTAAGGAATCGAGTAGATGGGGTTAAACAGTGAAAGACAGAGAGTGTCGCGATTGTAGAGGGGACATTTTAATACAGGGTGAGAAGCATGATTTCCTTGCCTTGTCTTGGCAGCGTTTTGTGAGCGCGGGTCACCTGTTAATAATACCTTGAGCTTGAGCTGGCCACGACGTTTATGGAGTTGCTGCGAAGGGTGCAGTCTGAGACAGAGGGGGAAGCGGATTGTGATGGACAGTTGAAAAATGGGAAGCTGAGTGAGAACAAGACAGAGTGAGAAGCTTGTGGGCCTGGGGGGAGCGGTAGTAGAGCGGGGAGATACTGAGTATAGCAGAGCTGGAAACACTGAGTCCAGGTGTATTTAGACAAGGTAAGGCACTCCCGCTCTACGGCAGTGCGCATATTCTTATCGTATAATCATCTCCCTCTCTGCTTGAACGCTTGAAGTTTGACCCCAGAAAACATGATGAGGTCATATATTTCTCCATTTCCTTACCTCATCTAAATATACTTTGCTCTAAGTCCCTGTGCAGTCGCCTGAAAGCTTTTGTTTTCACAGAACGGATGAGCCAGAACCTCTTATCTTTCTTACGAAATACGATTGTACTTCTCATATTTGTAGCTCCCAAATTAGCCGATAAATAGTTGAAATGAAAGATCGATAATAAAATATCCGGAATTGATAAAGAAGTGAGTGAGCGGCTACTGAAATATTACGAAACTCGAGTATATGGTTGTCAAGCAGAGGTTGTTAGACTTTTTGTGTGATATATGTAAATATGTACTTTGATTTCAGTAATGGCATTCGATCCGAACCGAACCCAACCTATCCCATTAAATATGGCAGATGTTCTGGCACTTGTTTCCAGCATTGATCCCTCTAATATACATTAAATAAACACAATAATACTTAATTTTATTAACCTCAAACAAATTTTAGCAAAGATCTTTAATCCCTAAAATTCAATTAAATCAAACGATTCAAAAACCTCCAAAGGTTTAGCAGCCTTCAATCATGTATTTTGTTCATGTCAGTGACCAATTGCTCACAACCAAACACCCCCCTCCCCTTCTCTGATATCCTTGGGTCGGTCTGGGGCACGATGCATTTGTTTTTATAATTGTTTTCTGAAATTTGCATTTTTACCGGCTCATCATTTTTGCCACGGGTTTTTTCGTAATTGCGATGCCGGAGCCTTTTTAATTTACCTGATGGACCGCTAAGGACACCGAACAGTGCTTTCATTGTCCACCCACCCGCCAACACCATTTCTCGTGTTGCAACCAGATCATCTCCTCATCATCAGGGGCACACATAATGCGTCAGGTTGTGCGAAAAAAGTGTCGTGTGCAGAAATTTTTAATTTATTTTAACTATGTACACTTTTTTTGTTTGTTGCACGATACACACATCCCAGGCCTCAGTGCAGGGCAGTACAGTACAGTAGAGTACAGTGCAGTGCAGTGTATAAGATGGCAATGGCATGGATGATGTTGCTGATGACGATGATGATGGCTCATCAAAAACAAACAGGCGACAGCGTGGAAAGGCTACAAAAGGCAAACCAAAGCTGGTCGAGGCAAAAAAACAAAAAGAAAAAAAACTGTAATAAAGCAAAACGTTCCTTTATTTGCCCCTGCACATGCAACCAGCCACCCAAAAACACGGACTATACAGCACTATAGTACTCTGTGATTTTCGTTGTATGAAAATTGAAGTTTTTTCCTTAAATATAGTAAACATCGATGGTGCAGAGATTTATGTATTGCATGGCACTGTTGAAAATAGCTCGATGGTCTGTGCCCCGTGTTTACTGTTTGTCGGACAGAAGAGGCGGCAATTTACGCCCACACGCACAAGGACACACACACACACATACACCCACACAGGGAACAGTAGGAGCAGCAAGTACATCGGGCAAAAAACATTAATTTGCATGCAAGTCAATTATCAGGAGGCAGCAAACAGACAAGCTCTAGTCGTGGCTGCCTCCTGCTGCGGCGGTTTCTGCTGGTTTGCAATGCAAATATCGGAGTTATTTTTCATCAAGAAAAATTCCCCCCCTAATGAACCACGAAACAGGAATACTCTTGACCAAAAAACAAGAATGTTATTAAAATGCGAAACTGTGCATCGATGTTGGGTATCTGTGGCGCTTACCGAGCCTTACCGTTTCCGATATCCATACGAGTATCTTCCATCTAATATAGGGTATAAAAAACGTCGATATCTGCTTGACTCGTAAATTGCCTGGCCAGCAAAATTCTAAATGTTTTTATTAATTAAAAATATTGCACATTAAACACATTTTCAAATTGCGTTTGGCATTTTTTCGAATAAATACACGAACACGAACATTGGCACCAAAAAAAAATGCAAATATAATTTACAAAGCACACACCCGTCAAGGCTCGTCAAGAGACTTTGATTCCACGCTCCATTTGTATTTGCATTTGGGTTTTTATTTAATTTCTGAACTACTCTGGGAGTGCCATGAAAATTGGTAGTAAAGTACACAGATTCTAAAGGGGAAAATTCATTTGCAGTCTTCACTAATCACTAAACTAAACTAATCACTAAGTGGGCTTAGTCTAAGGCTAAATGGTTAAGGATTCTGGCAAGAGGTCTGGCGACTCCGGAAGGACTTTGCTTTCACTGTGATATCAAAGGCTGCGCAGGCGTTCTCCTCCAGGCTGGGGCAGGTGAGGAAATGGCCAGATGCAGCAATCTCCGGCCAACTGCGTCTGAGTGACTGGGCAGGACCGAACCACTTGACACGCCCGCACTGTGTCTCGATGACAGTCTCAAAGTGGGGCTGTGGCTCCTCCTGTGGCCGGTCCAGGTGCCAGAGGAAGACGGCATGCCCCTGCCCTGTGCCGATCGGTATGACAGCCAGGAAAAATGTGTGCACTCTGACAGTCTCGTGGCCCGGGCTGACATCCTCGCTCAGACTGAGGCATGCCACCGCCTGCTGGGACGGCAGCTGGACGTGCAGCCGCTCCCCGAACGTGCCGTAGGACTGCAGCACGGCCAGGCGGTGCTCGCTGCTGAGATGCCTCAGGAGCTGCCACTCGCAGGACTTTATTGATGTCGCACCCGTCGGCCCCGAAACTAGGGATGACGTTGCCTGATTTACTTCAGATGCTGGCGCCTGTTTATGGCTCCCCACTGATAAGGTGGCCGCTGCAATTTCGGCTGCCGCAGCAGTGGCCGCCGCCTCTGCGCCGCTGGCCCCATCTTTGACGGTTGACAATTTGGCCTGTCCCGCTGGCTGGGAAAGTTTCAGCGCCGCGCTGCTGCTCCTGATGCTGCTGCAGCTGGAGATACATGATTTCCCAGTGGGGCAATGATAATTTTGAAATAGCAGCTGGCCTTTGCCGCCGCCAGCTGACTGCATCACCTGCTCCTGCTCCTCGTGTTGGTGCTGCCCACTATTTATGTTTGCAACTTCATCACTGCGCAATCCGTCTTGATCTTTGCCTGTAAGCCGCCAACTTTTCTTGCTCAACTTTAACTTTGGTTTAACGAGCATATTGTTGCTCTCGAGCTCGAGGAGCTGCTTCTTCTGCTCCGCCTCGTTGAAACGAGTCTCCTGGTGCTGCACTTTTATCAGTGTGCAACGTTGCAGGACCTTCTTGTCCTCATCCTGGCCCTGGCTGCTGCTCTCGTCGCGGCTGCTGTTGCGGTTGTTGTCGGCGACATTATTTCGAATTCGAGCATTTGCCTCATTTCCCTTTGGCATTTGCCGGTGCTGCTGCAACGGGGAGTCGCCTCCCCCATCACACCCACCTGCTCCGCTGTCTGTCCCATTCAGAACCACAACTGCCACTGCGTCCAGCTGCAGTTGCCTGGAGATTTGTTTGCCGCACTTCTTGCCGGAGTTCGACTTGGCCAGCGCCATTTTTGGTTGATTATGATATTCATTTGTGCACTTGTTGACGCTGCTCGGTTTTCGCTGGCCCTCCGGGTCCGGGTCCTGGTCCTGGTCCTGGTCCGCAGTCACCTTGTTGGCTTTTGCTTTTCCTGCAACAAAAACGGAAAAAGTTCAACGAATTGCACAACAAAAAATAGGTCCCAAAATGGAAATGCAATAAATGTTGCCACGAATAAATATCTATGGCCGCCCCACAGTCCCCCCAGGACCATCCCTGCATCCCTCCATACGCACAATTGTTGATGGCTTGAAATTTTCAAGTTTTCCTGCAGTCGGAATTGTCCTTTTGCGCTCGTTAGGTCTTTCCACGAACCCTACACAACCGCCAGCTCCTGCCCCCTGGCCAGGAAACTCTCAAGAAGTTTAAGTGGCAAATGAAAATAGAAAAAAAAGTAAATAAATTTCTCCATCTTTATATAAATATGAACGGAGCAAGAGGAGTGGGGAGGCGAGTGGGGAGTGGGGGAAATCTCAGCAAAAACATAAAGAATGCACACTTAATGTAGAAGCAATAAAAACGTACTAAGCAGAGACTAAGCTAAACAAAAGGAAACAAGAAAAGAAGTCTGCTAGAGACTGCTATAGATATGATTTCGACTGTAAGATACCCGCTAATCAGGTATCCTAATCAGCTATCCTTCTAGCCCTCTTTGGGGCAGAAGCGACTTTTGTAAGCCAAATCCATATCTCGTATTCATATCTTCTGTATCTGCAAAATGTAAATAATTATTTACTTGGTATTCCTTCCTGTATTTGAGATATAATAAACCCACGCACTCTTCTAGTACCGTGTACAGCCCTTACAAAAACGCACAGGAAGTTGGTAAAAAAAAAAGACAACAACAAAAAAACTGAAGACCAACAAGTAAAAGCAAATGCAGACAACGGCGGAAAATTCGTTCATGTTTGTTCTTGTTGCCGCTTGTTACCTACGCTGTAAACTTCACTTGAAGTTGAGTTGGGCGGACGCGGACACGGCCGTGGACGAGGACGCGGAGGCGGACGCGGACACAGATTGAAAATGGCAACGAGGGCGGCGTCCAAACTTTAAGCGAAAGAACAGCGGAAACAACAGGAATATGTAACGCAATGCCAACAGTATGGCAACGGCAACGGCAACGGCATAAAGCGTGAAAAACTTTAGCAATTTATGTTACATAATTATGCTATAAAAAGAAGAAGAAAAACAGCGAAAAGATGAGCCATTGCGCTCAATTTCAAGCACTCTTGACTTGGCTCACATTTTCCTTTCATTTGCTTTCAGGACTCTCTCTCTCTCTCTCTCCCACTCTGTCTCCTTCGGCCGAGATTTAAGTGAAACATTGACACTTGGCGCTACTCAAAAGTTTTTGGCACAAAGTAAATGACAGCTGGATGATATATCTTTTGATATGGTGGGCCGAGGATCCCACCCGGCCCAGACAGATGTCGCCTAATGACGACGCTAATTTGGGTATCGTTTTGCCACGATTAAATAGATAAAAGTTATAAATACAAGTAAGTAAATGTTGGTTGCACTCACCGCCGTCGCAGGGAAAGTTCTCCGCCAGCAGGGTGAATAATTTATCCGACAGCAGGCAGCGGCCCCTGGGCCCCAGTGGCACACGACACACCGGACACTTCACGGACCGGCTGCGGCAATTATTGCAGAGCACGTGTCCGTTGCAGCACTGCCATCCAGGTGGTTTGATGACCTGATTTTTGTTGGTTGTTGGCCCGAGGCAGGAAGGGGTGGAAACCGAAGTCAAAGGAAGTGCAGCCACAAAGTGAGAATAAATCAAAAAAGAAAAAAAAAAAAAAAGGGAAAATCTTTGTGAAAATATATACATAATTATACAATGGAGGGGGAGTATGTGTGTGTATGGGGGGGATGTGGTTTATTTCATTTAATTATAGCTATCATGGATAGTGAGCACACTCAAAGGAAGCACTCTCTGATTGCTTCTTGATTGTAATGCGAATGGGATTTTGAGGAAAAAGCAATTCTAGTCAACGTCATATGTAACATAACGCTCAAAAATGAAACTAAATTTGATTATTGCTCTGTCGGGGCAGGGCATCAATCGGAATTCACCGAAACATGGTTCTCCTTCTCCTTATTGAGGCTCCGGCTCCTGTTTTTCCTTTCTCGCATTGGCATGCAAAATGTATTATTTTGGGTATGCTGTGCGCAGAAAGCTTTCCATTTAAATTGAAAATCAAATTGAAAATATTGCAAGCGGATTTAAAATAATACAACTGTATGAACGAGTTTTTGATGCGCACAAAAATACTTTTGCGCATTTCAAGCTGGCCCTGGCATCGCCTCACAAAACTGAAAAACACTGCAAAACAACAGAGAACAAAATATACGTACATATAACAAAAAATGGAAGAAAAACGGAAAGCGGAAAATCGGATCGACTGACAGACTGAAGAATATGTATTGAAATTTGTATGATGCTTTTTGTCTCTGCCCCGCCATAAAAGGGGGGAAGACACGTGTGCGTCTGTGTTCGGGGGGGCAAAAACTGTTGTAAATATGCAGCCAAACATAAATTTGGCTGAATAAAGAAACAATTTCTGGTCTGAAGCTTTCCATACTTTTTTGCTCTCACCGATTTGGCCAAACTGCTTTGCAAGTATTACAAATGTAAAGCGATTCGTTTGCAATTTAAACTAAAAACAGAGACAGAAGCCGGAAGGTTACATTCTCTGTCGAATGGACTATTCGATGTCTCCTTACCTTTTTGCTGAGCTCTAAAATTTAAGACGGATCTGGGAAAACTCTCAAAATAAACAAGGGCCTATAGACACTTCCCATGATATGGGAACACTAGGCTGATATTCTTTCTACAAAAACCACATACCCTGCCAGTATTTTATTAAATAAAACCGGAAGCAAATACAAATACAAAATAAGAATACACAACTACAAGCATTTTCAAGAGCTTGTACGTGTGCGGAATAGTTTTTAATTCTGTTCGTTTTTGATTGTTTGAAATTGGCTTAAATGGCTATAAGCAAAAGCTTTCTATTTTAATACCCTTCCATACATAAACAAAGACTCCAATTAGTGATGGAAATCAATTAAATGATCTAAGCAAAGCAAATATTGCTGGAAATGGAAGTGGAAATGGAATCGGAATCGGAATTGAAGCATTCGCTGTATCGCCGTCCAGCAATTGGTTTGAATGCGGAAACGAGAGCATATAAAAATTGTTTGCACTGACTGAGTGATTGTTCATTTGGGATAGTTGTTGGTATTTTTTAATCAAATTTATGCTCAACTTTTGATACCTTTTTATAGGTCATCCTAAAGGTATGCAGCACTTTTAGTGTGTAGAATTCATGTATACCTTATGTAGAGTGAACTTGGTCTGTATGTAGATATTATGTAGAACGAGGGGGAACGTGAGTTGCTGCTAGTGTTGTGTTGCTCATGAGTGAGTGAACAAAAAAGAGTTGTTCACTTAAGTGAGCAACTGAACATGTTCCTTCCAAGTTGTTCTTTTTTGTTCACTTGTTCTTTGTTGTTCACTTGTTCTTTTTTGCTCACTTGTTCTTTGTTGTTCACTTGTTCATTTTTACTCACTTGTTCTCTACTCACTTTTTGCGCAATTTTGCTCCTCAAAGGGCATTTTGCGATCTGGCAGCTTTGCTCATATTTGCGTTTACTTCACACTTTTTGTATTACCGGCAATGCTATTTACTCTTTTGAAAAATTCACTATGTCGCTAATTCGAAAGTATAGTGAAATTTAGAACCATCTGCGCATGAATAGTGAACAACTGAGAGAGCAAGTCAGCAACTGAGCAAGTGAGCAACTGAGCAAGTGAGCAACTGAGCAAGTGAACAAGTGAGTAACTGAGCAATCTAAGAGAGCAAGTGAGCAAATGAGCAATATGAGTGAGTTGACTCACTTACTAAAAAAGAACAAGTGAACATGTTCACCAAAATGAGCAATGTTTACCCAACACTAGTTGCTGCGGACACCGCAACTCTACAGTTATACCCGATACATAGTCAGTACGGCTCTCCTCCGGCAGACGCCGCTAATGACACAGAGTGCGTGCGAGAGAGACAGAAAATCAGTCTGAGCGTGACGTCGGGCGCTGCGTAGCCACTGCAACGTATTTGATATACGTTATTTGGTTACTCTAGCCTTAATAGTCTCTGAGATTTGTGGATGCCCCAGATTTTCGTCCTTTGCGGGGGCAGAAGGGGGTGTGGCAAAGTTTTGAAACATACTTGTAACAGTGACATATCAGAGAAGTCCGAATATAAAATATCGTTGCTCTAGCTCTTGTTGTCTTTGAGCACTAGGCGCTGATAGGGACGGACAGACGGACGGACGGACAGACAGACAGGGCTCAATCGACTCGGCTGTTGATGCTGATCAAGAATATATGTACATATATACTTTATGGGGTCGGAAACGCTTCCTTTTGGACGTTACACACATCCATTTTCACCACAAATCTAATATACCTCCAATACTCATTTAGAGTATCGGGTATAAAAATACCAAGACCAATTAAATTCGACTTTAAACCCTTTCAAACCCCAAAGCAGCTTTAAACTTTGTGGTGCCTGATGGCACCTGCGTGCAAAAGGCGTTTCTAGTGAAAAGTACATAGAGATCCCATGTCAAGAAGTTACTCGAACAGCAATCCAACGATTGTGTGTTTCTTTCACACAAGTGGGAGATGAAACTTAATAAAATTTCAAAAGGCAATGCATTTTTCCCAATTTACTCGTTTTCTTAATTCAAGAAAAGCCTGGGGGGCTTTGGTTGAAAGCCGAGTGTAAGTTAATCATCTTTTGATGTTGAAAGCCAATTCCTTGAATTTCCAGGACTGGGCTGTGTTTGCTTTTGAAATTTATGAAAATTAAATGAACTGCAAATTTATGCATATTTAAATGAAACAAAAACAGTTTCATGCCCGATTTAATGTCAAACAAGGGAGACCCAATGCCAAATCCGACCTGCCTTATCCGACCGCCAGGAGCATGCCAACGGCAAGGGAAGGACTAATGCCAGCGATTATCTTTTGAAGGGAATCGAGAACAGAATGCACTAGTATTGAAAATCAAGCAAAACAAAATCCCTTAATAACTTAATGGACTTGTGTGTGTTTTTGCATACATAAATAGAACCCAAACACGCTCAGACACGCATGCACATGCACATGCATGCATAAGGAATACGAGTGTGGCACTATATAGTGGATATACTCGCACTAGAGTAGCCCATAATACAAAACTCGTATAATGCCAGCTTCGTGCTTCAGTAATAATTGCCAAATCTAAAGGACTCTCCAGCAACTAAGCCGCAGGCCGGAGAGGGAGCATGGGGATATCCCAGAGATGATAGAGATAGAAGATAGAAGATAGAGGAGATGGGGAGGTGTATCCCAGAATAAACTGATTTTGGGTTAATAAACAAATTATTCAGTGCAGCTGCAAGTGGAGTTCGAGTCCCAGACAGCTCTGTGGCGGCTCTCTAGCTGGCTGCCCCACTTTGAAGGCGTTGCAGCGTGGCTATTTCTGGGGGCAGGGGGCCAGGGAGGGTACGAGGAGGCTGGGAGCGATATGTCCTTTCAGTCCGGTCCGGGTCTCCTGCACATGCTTAATTTATAGCCACACACACACACAGACACACAAGCACACGGACAGTGACACTGCCACACGGAGATGTGCTGCAAGCGAGAATTTCATTTGAAAATAACTTTACATTTTAAATGGCCGCCTGCACGGGCCAGTGGCAGGAGGCAAGAGGCAAGAGGCAAGCGGGGCGGGGGCTGCAGGTCTGGACACTCTTTATCTTGTCTAATTAATTAAATTTATGTTTTTGCTGACAAGCTGGGCATAAATAAATTTAAAGCCGGACACTCGCCAGCAGCTTCAATTTAAATGCACAACGAGCTCTGGGCGCAGCAGAATCAGGACAGAATCAGGAGCACCCAGAAGGAGGGTGGACCCGCGGGCGAATGACACGATTAGGCACACTGACTTTCTACGCCATACCTATATACCTATATATATATATATACATATGTGTGTGCACACATCTGCCTAATCGTCAATATTTGATTTTTAAACGACATAATCAATCACTTTGTCGTGCATATACTCGCTTGTACATATGTATTTTGCCAAACTAATCAAATCACATGCCAGAGCAAACATTTATCAAAAATCTACTTCAATGTGGGACGAAAAAAAGAATATACAAAAACAAGAGGTAAATACTGGCTAGAATCGATGGCTAGAATACCCTTACCGAACCTTTTTAAGGACTTTCCAACAAGGAAAAGCATAAGTTAAGCTTACAAATATCTGATTAATATCATAGTACACTCAGCCAGGGTGCTCATAGCTCATATAAAAACACTTGGCCAGAACATAACCGACGGCCATTAACTGCCAACATGACGACATGAATGAAGCTGCAGGTGGGGGTGGAGGTGGCTGAGGCTCGGCTCTGGCGTGGTGCGTCGTTTGAGTAATTGAGTAAACAATGCCGGCACGGTATATATACATACCTGCTTGACAGAGAGAGCGAGAGAGAGAGAGAGGGAGTGGTGAGAGTGGTTAGGGGCCAAGAGTCAAGAGGGCAGCAATCACTGGCAGCAGCCCAACGTTGCAAACTTTATATACAGTCAAGTGATTAGCAACAAACTTGCGCAGCAAAATCAACGCAGTACCGGAAGGGGGACTGGGAGACTGGCACCGGCACTGCCACTGCGACTGCCACTGGGATTGGCACTGGGATTGGGACTAGGATCAGGACTAACAGTAACAGCAGCAGAGAGCCTCTCAAAGGCAAACAAGCGGCAACTGGCAACTACGTAAGTTTTGAGAGAGTTCCGTCGAGTTGAGTTTAGATAATGACGAACTAAAACTAAAGCCCGAGCTGCTGTCGATGCACGGGCCACAGAGGCGACCTCATCGATATGCAACGCACATGCAACGACGGTCTGGATTGGCCTTTTCGTGGCAATGCCACTCACCCGCACCCGCACCCGCACCTCACCCACTTACCTCAAGGCACACAGGACACTCCAGTAATTGGGAAATATGTTGAAGGCATGTTGCAAACTTTTGCAGCGATTGTTGATTAATTCCATGCTGCTGCAAAGACACAAAGCGAGGGGAAAACTTTGGTTAATTTTAGTGTTCTGGCTTCAAGGTTGAGAGAATTGCAATCAAATGAGTCCGAGGAATGCCTTTAATGGTATTGAATGCTTCCATTTGGACGGATTTGCATGCGATTATCAAAACGAGCAAAGCACTGCATTATTGTGATTCAATAAAATGATTAAACTGCCAACGACAGGATGCATGTTACATCCGAGAGATACATATATCCATGGTCGAGTTTAATCTGTTTAACTGACACACACACAGACACACGGAGACTCGATTTGATGCAGATGCATAGCCTTCAGCCTTGATTGAAATGGACGTTCCACGTGCACCACGTGCACCAGGTATGCCAGAAATGTGTCTGTGTGGCAGCAATTTTCGACTGTCCGACAGGGTCCACCCCTTTGAGGACATTTGGGTCAATTGAATTGTAATAAAGTACACATGATGTGTCAAGAACAAAATTGCATTATTTCAATTCAATTGAATTTAATAAAATAAACAGCTTCTCGGTCGGCAACAGACAAACAGCAAACACAGACATACAGACAGACAGACAGACGGACACGCCCATGGCAAAGCCCCAAGGCAATGGCAGGACACCTCCGGGCTGGGGCCTTGTAATATATTTTACATGTGGCCCATTCAGCATTCAGCATAAATGAATAGCATTCGATTGGATAACCCAAAGTAAGTCAAGGATACATGTACGGTAGATGCATTTTTAAAAGCAGAATCGAATGATTGGTGCTCTTCTGAGGCAATCACTCTGGGGTAATGGCTAAGTAGACCAGGCTGTAGCGACTAATTGCTAAGACAGAGACAGCAGTCATTAAGCCAATCAGCATTACGTAACGCTCAGTGGCACGTGAACAACAGCAGCGGCAACAAGCATTACCACTACAGTACAGTACCTAGCCACTTTGCGGCACATTCGTGTATGACAATGCCCCATTTAACCATCGGCAAATCAGCTACAAGTACAGGCTGACAGCACTTGAGGCATCTGCATTGTGCGGCAAGTGGCAGCGCGTTTTCGACTCACCACAGCATGGGATGCCTCCTCGGCATCCTCGGACGATGTGAGGGCCGCCTGCTGGCGCCACACCATCATGGTCACACACTCGGCCCCACTCTGCCAGTGCTCTGCCAGGCGATTGGCCAGCTCACTGATCCGCAGGCCGAGTATGTCCACTCCATTCAGCTCTAGCAGAGTATCGCCAAGGCGGACACCGCCCCGGGCCGCATTCGATTTCTCCTGCACCCCGCTGACCCATGGATACGGGTCCCAGGGGGCACGACTCAAGTTCAGGCCCAGCGTTCCGTTGGCGCAGGCGTAGATGGTGCACAATTGGAGCATCCTTGTCGTTCAAGTTTCAACTGCGAATAAACGGAGAAATTGGCTTGAATTAAATCCAGAATCTCTCAAGGTCGCACACGTCTGTGGCATTTCATGCAATTTATGTCTCGGCACACACGCACCGCATCGCACCGCACCGCACCGCACCGCACCGCACTGCCGAGAGGCCAGACATAACACTGTTTGGGCCGACATAAATTTGGCCAATTTTCAACACTTGAGGCGTTTGCCAGACAACTCACACTCACACACACAGTCACACATCTAATTACCTGCACAGACACACACATACTCGTAGAGAGAGATAGAGAGAGGGGAGGGTATGCCACAGCGTCTCGTGCTTAGTTTTGCCTGTGAAAAATGGTGCCAAACTGTTTTATTTCCCTTGCTGAGTGGGCGTGTCATCGGTTCGAGGCCTCATCCTGCTTTTGACATTCCCATCACGTACACAGGCGCGCACACACTTGTATGTATTATACATGCGTGGGTGTGTGTGTGTTCCAGTGTGTGTCTGATGGGGCAACCACTTGTATCATTTGCACCTTTCTGTGGGCAATTCTTTCACCTTTCGGCAGCTGCGCCGAAGCGCAATTAATTAGCAAAACTGCTACCAGAGCTGGCCCGACAAACTTTTGCCACCCAAAAGGCCGTAATTACGCATACGCCACCGTGGGCGGCCCGAAGTGCTCGAAATTTGCTCACATAAATCAAAAGTTTCGCAGTTCCCGCAGGCCAAACATTAGAAAAAAGGGGTTTCTTGAAAACTTGAACAAACTACAGAAAATCAATTAAAACCCTGGGGCAGACCGGCAACCCGCAACCCGCAACCGAAGCTCAATGTCTGGCAAAATGGCAGAAGTGCAGGGAAAATGGGAACCACATTTCATGTGCATGTATGTAGAAGTCGTTAATGAGGCAGCAGACGCAGATGTTGTATCCGTATCTCATCGAAAACATACGAGCCCCGTCCCTAACATTGTCGTCGTCAGTCGAAGGCGATAACGAGACCCAGAAGCAATCTACAGACAGTACGAGTTCTATTTGCACCTGGCAGCGCCTTCGCAAACCAGATTCTTTCGTCTAGTCATTCGACATTGTCGTTGCCAGTCTCCGCAGTGCGTCAGTCTCCGGGTCGTAGTCGTCGTTGGGCTATCTGTTGAGAAGATTCTCATCATTCTCAAATTGATTATTCGTACACTCGAAACTCTTTCAGCGCTGCGTTCAAGTATCTAAGTATCTACGGCTGTGATGTATCTGGTTTTTTTTTGTTTTTGCTCTCTCTATCTACGCACGCGGATACAGATACAACAAACTTGTTGAGCGCACTTCACTTCACTTCTTACTGACATTGGCCATGAAATCGGCTATGACGTCGACGGCGTGAAGTGAGCGCACAAAAAAAGAAACGTTCAATAAATTATTAAACAATAAATCGAAAATAAGCTGTTGCAGCAATTAAAAGCGATTGATACTTGTGTCTGGCCATTATTCAATTATGTATTATGCATGGATTTTTGTTTTTATTTTAATTATTTTTTTCGTTTTGTTCTCAACTTTCCAGCTTCCCCCGAAAGTTAAGGGCAATTAAGAAACTGATTTAATTATTTTTCAAAGCCGCACAAATTAATTAAAGTTGCGCCCAAAAAGACCATTCCAAACCACCAACAGTTGTGGACTCCGGCTCCGGCTGAGTGGGCAACCGCAGCCGGTCCGTTGCGATGCGGAGTTGCATCAATGCGCGGGAACCGCGAACCGAGAACCGAAAATACACAGAGAGCAGGAGAACAACCACAGAAAGCCACGTTTCGGCCATTGTTTTGGCCAAAAGTCAATGAAGCGCAGCAGTTAGCAAACAATTACGAAACCCAAACTAAAGGAAGACCCACCCGCGTACACTCCCCCCACCTTAAACTGGTAACGCTCCAATTGAAGCCCAACTTTATTAATTAATTGCCACATTTATACCGTAAAGTTTCCTCTATATTTTTGCTGTATTTCTTTGTCGGAAGCGAACTGTGCTTAGGCGCGTGCGAATTGCAACTAACTGGAAGTCAGTCGTCGGATAGCCAGCCGCCAGCCACCAGCCAACAGCCACTTGAAGGTAATGCACATTGCACACGGCAGAAACAGCTATGCTCGTAGCTGCATCTGTAGCGCAGATTTAGCTGATTTTTTGCCGCTTTCGTTTTCAGTACTATATCAAGTCGTGTCATGGGAGGGGGGATCGGAGGACGGGTCTGACGGAGCGAGACTAAAACAAACTCACACGAAAATTGCGTCACAATTACACGAAAGAAACCGCAAGCGAAAACATACGACAGAAACAGAGGCAGCGGCAGCGGCAGAGCGGAGACGAGGCGGCAGAGAGACAGAGACCCAGAAACCCCAAAGCGGGCAAAACTGTTGCGCATGCGCCATTGACGTTTCGCTGCATCTGACTCTCTCTCTCTCTCTCTCTCTCTTTAGCTGTGACTCAATCTCTGTCTCTGTCTGACTCAGCCCACAATTAGCAAGACTGAGTCTTGCGTTGCCGTGTAAATTTCCAATTGAATATGCCTGGGTTTTTTCTGTATGATATGTACCCTTGTAGAGGGTATTACGATCGTGAACAGATGTTTGAAATGCAGAAAAGGTAGTCGTTCCGATCGTGATGTGTTATGTCCATGTTTATATTAAAATTAGTTTAAACCCAAATCTTTGTGGGATGAACTTGTTTGTTGCTTAATAATCTCTTTAAGAACCAATATCCATAGCCATAAGCCATAGAAGTAGTAATTAGTCTCTACGGACAATAGTTCGAAAGGTTATATGAATCTGTAAGAGTATCCGTAGCTTCGGTTTCCTGCCTTTGTTTGTCTCCACTTTGTTTGGATTTCGCACAGAGTGTGAAATTCGCACAAACATTGCATGGCGCATGCGTAGAGGCACGGAGAGGCCCGTCTATGATTTATGAGCGCTTTTCTGATCACAATTTAGACTCGTTTCGTTTGTCTGTTATTTTTTCGTACGTACAGCAGGAAATGAGAATCAAAATAGAATAGCTCCGGCTAAACAAACTTGTTTGATGTCTTTAATTATGCGAAATGCGATTATAATTGTGCGTTACACTTCCGCGTTGAAGGAATGGAATGGAGAGCGTGGGGCGAGGAGCAATTATGAGGCGGTTTGTGAGGTAGCTGCCGCCTTGACCTAAGACAACGTTACCAAAGCGAACAGACCCAGACCCAGACCAGACCACCGACAATGGCCTCAGGGCTGTCCGAAAGCGTAAGGTCATGTGGCCCATTAGAGAGGTATAATTTTTACAGCAAAAGTTTCGTATGGCTTGACCGAACAATCGTTAATACAATTATTATGTTTGATGGAGCACACACGCACCGTTTTTTTGTTTTTTCTTTTTTTTTTGTAGTAGATGAGCACACAACGCTTTTGGCTTGGCTCTGCCTCAGCGCCTTCCTGTGAAAATCAATTTTCACAATTTTCCTTGTGAACTTTGCGGCTTTTCGCTTCGTCACCCTCGCAGTCAATTACACACACGCGGGGCTGATGTCTCAATTCGATGATGTCTTGGTCTGGGCGCCGGCGCCACGCACTTCGCGTCTGCTTGCGGAACTTGCGGGGTCGGCGCGTGCGCACTGCTTGAGCGTTGTGAAGAAACTGAAAGACTGACGATCCGGCGTCTGCGCAGCGCAGTGCACACCTGAGCGACGCACAGCGCCCTCTGCGGGCAAAGCTCCGGAGGCTGAACGCAAGCTTTCGAACGGTTTTTCAAACTTGTAAGCCATAAATATACCTGTGCCTTGAGCACTAGCCCACCTCCATCCAAATGGAGCTGGCTCATGGCGTGACTGCACTTGAATTGGGCCATTTGCCTCTGAGCCCGGGCCAGCTTCTTGGCTAATTGCTGGCCCGATTAATAAAAGTCAATGCTTGACTTTGCTGCCGTGCCATAAACTACAAAGTACGCGTAGGAGTTCGGACGCGTCTCTGGCCGGCTCATTGAGAAGCATGAACAATGAAATTTGATGTTATTGGCTTTGTAAGTATTTGGTTAATTTTGACAATGCTGATGGCTGTCGGCTGCCGTCCGCTTCTGTGGCCACCACTCAAATGCCAGGCAATTCTGAATAGCACAAATAAATTCAAATCAAATCTAATTGAACTCGCAAATTGAAAACCGAAAACGAAATCAAAAGCCAAGCCGCACAAGCACATCACCCCAACACCACACCACCACCCAGGCCAGGGTCATTTAGCTGGGCCCAAAATTTAATGAAATTACCTACCAATTTCAATGTTATTTGGACAGCAACCTATGCACGTTCATGTCCGTTAAGCGCCAAACAGAAATGGCCCCATCAAATGGCAGCAAAACAATGAATGAAAAGCAACAAAAAAGCGAAAGTCAATTGGGGCAATGCTGGAGCGGTGGTCGGTTGTTTGGTGGCAATGCCAAATCCATTTGTCAGCTGCCAATTTCCATCAGTTATCATTGTTAGGGTTAATGGACGAGGCTGGCTTTTGGGCACAGGTATTTACTTTAGGGCCCCTTATTTATGTTTATCCTGCCCTGACACCTCCAAAGCACTAACCCACGCCCCCCAGCCGGTTGCTGTTTTCATTTCTCCTTCTGATTTGTGCGCCAGTCAATGACAATACATTACCATTCGACACTGGCCTGGCACTGGCACATGCGACACGCAATTAAGCTAAAAAATAATCATATTTATTTTCAAATTGAATTACAATGTCGAAAATAAACATGCTCGTACATTTTGGGCGTTGTTAGGCCACACAAAAATTAAGCAAATAAACAGAGCTTCAACAGAGTAGGGAATGCGGTAGTGAGTGCTTGAAATGTGCTTTATTCCAAAATTGGTGGATATTATCGTACATTGTCGTTCCATAAACAGCCGCAAGCAGCTGTTTCTCCCTTTAGATTTTTCAGAATTTTCAAGTAATTTCAATATTTAATAAAGATAGAAGTGCATCTCCGTCACAGTAGAATATTATAC